CGTGAAGCGAAGCCCAGAAGGAGCAGCTTGGTGTGTCTCTGGATCTTACTGCCTCTCCCGCTTCTCGACTGGAACGGTCAGGAGTGTTAGGCCCATGGCTCATCCTTGGCTCACTGCCTCTGAGAAGAACATTCACCTCAGGATGCTTATTTCTCCTGAGTTTCTGTTGCATTTTTACTTATTAGCAAAGTAATATGAGACTGGCACTACATCATTCTAGAAACTTGCTTTGAAAACGATGTGATCAGCCTACACAGGAGATATTTCAAAATAGAGATGTTACAAAAACACTTGGTACTTCTAATAGGGATTTCTTCTCTTCTCCTTCGGATTTTTGCTCAAATGCTCTGAAACCTGACTTTTGTGTTCTTCTCCTAGGCTCTCCACTTCCTGGGGGGCACAAACTGGGTCTTATTAATCTATGTAGCCCTCCTAGCAGTGTGCCTACAGATGGTGCTCAATAAATATTTGCTAGGTGAAAGATGGGTCACATTATAGAGGAGGAAGCACTCTAAGCCACCCTGAGGTTTACTTCTTATTTTAACTTGCCATCAGGCCTACAGTCCTTCTGAGAATGCACTCATCTGGAGAATAAAGATGTCTTGCTGTGGGCCACAGAAGTACTGGCAGCAGGAATTTGTTTCTAGCCACCTAGAAAGTTTGCACATCAACTTTATTTTTTTTTTTAAGATTTTATTTACTTATTTATGAGAGAGAGAGAGAGAGAGAGAGAGAGAGAGAGAGAGAGAGAGGCAGAGACACAGGCAGAGGGAGAAGCAGGCTCCATGCAAGGAGCCTGATGTGGGGCTTGATCTAGGGTCTCCAGGATCACACCCTGGGCTGAAGGCAGCGCTAAAACCGCTGAGCCACCCAGGCTGCCCTTGCACATCAACCTTAAAGCATATACCAGTGGCTGCAAACAAATTAGGAATTCTTCAGTGCAACTAATCTAAAAACAAAACAACAACAACAAAAAACCAAAACAAAAAAAAAAACAATTTTGTTAGGATTACTGGCCAACATTAAACATTAAACAAACAATTTTGTTAGGATTACTGGCCAACATTACTGGCCAACATTTTTATACTTCTTGATAAATATCACCAACTGTTTTCGAAACCAGTTTTCTTGGTTTCTGATGCTCTTAGAGGGATAATCATATCCTCTTCCGCAACTCTGGGTAGTAAATTTTTTTTCCCCTTAAAGTTTTAGTCATTTAATAAATGAAAAATACAAAGTTTGTCGTTCTTTTCATTCTCATGTCTTTTGAGGTGGAGCAATTTCTCCTTTTTTTTTTTTTTAAGATTTTACTTATTTTGAGAGAGGGAAAGAGAGAGCACTCACCACCCTGAGATCATAACTTGAGCTGAAATCAAGAGTCAGATGCTTAACTGACCGGGCCACCCAGGCACCCCAGACTTTCTCCTACTGATGTCCTCTGCTTGTTTTTATCCTTAGCCATCTTAGTGCTCTTCTTGCTACTTTGCTTAAACTTTATTACATAAAGGTAAAAAATATTAACCCCTGCCTTGGTGCTTGTCATATATGTAGTTTGTCTAGTTGTATTATCTTTTGCTTGGTCATATTTTTTATGTGAAGACATTTTATGTGCACTGGAATGCCACACTCTTGTGATTCCTTCAATTGCTCCCAAGTTTGGATTGCCCACCCCACCCCCCACCAGAAGTCTGATGAATATTGGCTTTATTTTCTTCTGCTTTTAAAACAATTGTCTGAGTTTTATATGTAAAGGCTGAATCCATTTGAAATGCATTAGGATGCATGTATGAGATAAAGATCTAAATAAGAATTTTTCTGCCAAATTGCTAGCCAACTATTGCAACTTGCACTAATTGAATTATTGTTCTCTTCCGCATTATTTGGTGATGCCTTTGTGAAAAATCACATATTAAATCCTTAGGTATAATAGGATCTACATCTTTAAGTTTATCCAGTCCAATCATCTGTCTGGTCTTGAAAGAGCACCACACTTTTTCAAATACTGCTTTAGAATCTTCTACTCTGTAGGACTCTTCACTGCTGCATGTCTACCCCACTAACATTACTACCACTTTTTGGAAGTTATTTTGTATTTTATATTCACCTTTGTTTACTGCTTCACATGAACTTGGAAATGTTTTTGTCTTCCTCCCCACCCCACCCCTAAAAACAGACCTGTTGGATTTTTGTTTGTCATTGATCTATAAATTAATTTGTGAAGAATTGACCTCTTATGTTGTTTACTTTTTCAATATGCTATACCTTTCCATTAATCAAGTAGTTCAACTCTCTGTAAAATTTTGGAATTTCTCTATAGAGGGCATACTCTATAAAAATTACTCCCAAGTATTTTATCTTCTTCTTCTTCTTTTTTTTTTTTTTTTTTTTTGGCTACTGCAACTGGGATTTATTTCTTATTATATTTTCTAATAGCTTCTCAGTGGTATGTAGAAATGCTACTGATTACACGAAACACATTTAGCTCTTAACCTGCCTTTTTAATCCACGGGCTCTGTCTTTTTTTATTATTTTTTTAGATTTTTAAAATTGATTTATGCATGAGAGAGAGAGAGGGAGAGGCAGAGACACAGGCAGAGGGAGAAGCAGGCTCCACACAGGGAGCCCGACAAGGGACTCCATCCGGGTCTCCAGGATCAGGCCCTGGGCTGAAGGTGGCGCTAAACCACTAGGCCACTGGGGCTGCCCGGGCTCTGTCTTTTGCAGAGCAATCTAGGGGAAGCATTCATAAGAAGAACGTTTCTGTCTCATTTGCAAAACCCAGAGTCACCATGTGACTCAATGCCCCTCATATGAAAGATGAACTAGGTTTCTTTTGGGGCAAAGAGATATATTTATGTCCTTTGCACCCTGGGTCCTCGAAATACTGCTTTCCTTCTCACCCCATGGCCACTCCTGAAATTCCAGCTGCAGCCAACAGCTGTTAACACAGGGATGCTCTTTTTGTCTCCTTGGTTTCTGTTTGGGGCCTCTAGGCATGGTTGGCCTGATCAGAATGCTCTTGTGGCTTGTAGAGTGTGGGCCTCTCTCCCACGTCCTCATGATGCCACCCTTCTTGCTTTGATGTCTCTAGCTGCTGCCACTGAACAACTCTTTGTTTCCACTCATCCTGCTCGCTTGGGAGTCCTTCAGGCCAGACTACACCCTGGTGAGGATCCAAGAGCAATAGCCTATCTTGTTTCCTTTTGTTGCTAAACTTGTGATGGTTTCACTTACCTCATGCTCATCTCTTCTTCTGTTTTTTTAATCTTATAATTTTTTTCATTGTCTTGCTTTATAGAGGATTTGGCATCATGAACCACAATCAAATCATTTTCTAAAAAACAGGCAAGATATAAATCATTAATAAATAGACTATTCAATACATTGTACCATATATACTATTTGTACCAACAACATTTAAAAAAAAAAAGAAGATGAAAGAATAAGGGATCTGGTTCATAAACATGTTACCACATGCCTCACTTTCCATTCAGAAAATGTGCATGTGTACTCATATGTATGCATGTGCACGGGTTGCTATTTAAACTCACACGTGTGTGTAGGTGACATGAAAAATATGATTATTGGCACCTGGAACTGCATCATTCTGTTGAATTCCCTTGAAAACAGTTTTTGAAAGATTCCAGCAGCTCTACTGTAACCACCTAATGTTTGTTCTGGAATGAAAACCCCTAATCATGACTTCCGACTTTTCCAAATACTTCCCTCATTGACCTGATGGACATCAGGTTCCTGAACCCAGGAATTCTGTTAGGGACAGAGAGCCCCCAAGCCTGCCACCCTGTGTCCCAGGAGGAGACCTCTGGATGCCAGCGCACCCTACATAGACTAGACCCTGGTCACCTTTATCCCCACCTGCAATTCTGCTTGGGAAGTAGGAGAAGGAAGGGTGGGTCTCCTCATGCCCGGAATACGCCTGGCCAACCTCCTGGTGTGGGGCAAGGAAATCAAGTCTCTCTCCCTAAGCTTCCTGGCATCATTCCCAAGAGGACCCAGGGCACCACCACCCTACTTGAAGCTGGAGCGATGACTACTGCCAGGTGTGCCACCCACAAGTCCCAGAGGAACGAGCTGAACAGATCCTGCATCTCTGTTAAAATTTTATTTTTTTGAAAATTTGTTTTCTGTTAAATTCTTAAAAACTCACCCATTTAACTAACCCGCCAATAACAACCCCTTATTTACATGACTTTTTTTTTTTTTTTTTACTTCTCATTCTGTATTATGAGAAGGAGAGTTGAAGTTTAGATGACTACGAGACTATACCTTAATTTTCCCTCCTTCCCATCAATATTGTACTTGGGAAAATTTGAAACCTAGAGAAAAATTACAAGGATAGTGTCGTGTGTAACGAACACCCATATACCTTCCACCTACATTCACTAATTCTTAACATTTGGCCACAGTTTCATTCTCTCTCCCCAGATCTACGTGTACTCCCCCCCCACCCCGAACCACTTGAAAATGTCTTTCATCATCTTGACTTTTCATCAACTAAATACTTTAGCAAATTGTTTCCTAAGAATGAGGACATTCTTCTACACAACAGGCACATTCAGAAAATGGGGCATTCTACAATATTATCATCACATATATAGATCTTTGTATTGAATTTCTTAAATCGTCCCGGTAATGCCACTTAGAATTTTTTTTTTTAAATCCAGGATCTAATCAAAGATCTCATGCTATATTTAGTTGTCATGACTCTTGGGTCTCCTTACTCTGATCCAGCATGGCCACTCAGCCTTCTCTTTGGTGGGGAGGGGATCTTTTATGAAATTACCATTTTTTAAAGAGTCCAAGTCAATTTTTTTTTTTTGCATTTGTCTGATTCTTTTTTCTTTCATGATTAAATTTGGGTTAAGCATTTTTGGCAAGAACACTGCAAGGTGATGCTGCCTTCTCTTAAAAACAGTTTTTAAAAGATTCCAGCAACTCTATTTTAACCACAAACTTTTTGTTCTAGAAAGAAAACCGCTAACTTACATTAATTTTTAAACACACACACACGTTATTAATGCTTCCAAGTTTGTCGCCACATCCCACTTCTGCACATATATCACAAATTATGGAGAGCATGTAAAACAAAAGGAAATCCAACACCATGAAAATTGGTAGACCCACATTCAGAAGGGATTGCATCTAAATTAAGTCCTGACTAGTTCTCTTGGATCCTGTTTCTGATGGATACCTGCATTGTTTGACCAGCAACCTTCCTTTCAAAGAGCCACTACTCCCCTCTCCACGTGGCCCTGGTTGGCTGTCCATCATGGGACTCAACCTCCCTACTGAGGGATTTGGTTCAAGGGTAAGTAGGATATGACCTGAACAGCACCATGGTCTTCCCTGAGAAATTGTGGATTCTGGAAAAGAACATTTCTTGCTTCTCCTGGGATAATGAGATAAAGCATAACTCTGGCTAGATCCATTTGTGGTCCTTTTTCTGATATTAAGGGGCATATTTTACAGCAGAAGAGAATAGCATTCCCACACGCAAGGTGAAGCAGTGGCAAGCTGCTGGGATAAACAGGTGGAGGGAGAGAGGGAGTTAATCCATGTGACATTATTTTAGTCCATGGACCTAGCCATGTCTGAAATTGGTTAGATCCTCTAAGGGTTCCTCCCTGCCCCTCTCAACCCCAAGCTAGTTTGAGCTGGGTTTCTATCTCACACAATTGAGTTTTGACTAATGCACGCGTGATTTAAGGACGTGGTTAGAAGAACCTCAGAGATATTTTTCTTTGTGACTGTAAGAACCCTGCCACGTCAGTGAGGAGGCCCCAGTTCTTGGGCCATACATGAGGGATGATAATCCCCACGGCAGGGTTGTACGGATTAAGGAGGGAACTCAGCGAGTCTGTCATAGTGCCTGCCTCACATTAGGAGGTGTACGAAAGCCCAGGGCATCTGCCAGCCTGCTGCCATTTGCTCTGTGTCCTTGACCACTCTCCCCCTCTGCCCAGACTGAGTCAGACTCTGCTGAGAACAGTGCTTGGTCAGGTAGTAGTCATTGCTCACTGTCATCATCGTGGTTGTATTCTCTTCATTTGTCCTATAAATGCAGCAACACCAACAGAACATTGAATATGTTGTGAGGGTACTCAGCGTTGGTTAGGTCATTACTGTTCCGGGTGGGAGAGCAGCCATGGGTGAGGCTAAGTGCAACTTCACTGCACTGATGTTTTTGGCTGCAGGCACTTCCAGCTTGAGCTAAACCTGAAGCTGGGTGGTTAGACAGAAGGGGGAGGGGCAGGAAGAAAAAAATGTTGGGGTTGATATTTTTCAAATTTTTTCTGCTACCATTTGCAATTGTTTTTGGTCTCATTTGTCCTCTTTCTGCAGTGATTTCCAGAAGGAAGTTTGCTGTGTCAGAATCCACAAAAGCCATGTATCTGTTGCTGTCAAAGGGACCAGGGTTCAAATAGTCTTTCGGAAAAGTAAAGTTCCCAGAGAAGAAATCATGGAGGTTCCTTAAGCACCTTGACAACTCAGGCCTATAACAGGGATCTTGGGATCACAAAGGCCTGCACAACTGCAGCACTGTCTTGGCTCTTGCTCTACACACCCTAGCCACTGCTAACCAGGGGCACCCCCAGACAGGAGAAAACAGATGTCCTGGCTTACCTCACACCTGGAAGATGAGTAGAGGTGACACGACATTGCTGACTGGGGCAGGCTGTCCTCGGCATGAGTTCGTACCCATTCTGTGGTGTGTCTGAAGTAGGGAGTGAGGGTGCAGCTCAGACCTCTCCTGCCCGAGCAATCTCCCTCGTGTGGAAAGAATCTGCCCAGTGTGTCTTGTGGAAGCCAATCAATGCAGTTTCCCAACTTCCTGGGTATTTGGGGGTTGAGTGATTATAAGCTCAGGGTTGGAAGCAGGTGTTTTGATCATACCTTGGTTCCAAGGGTCCTGATGGAAGAGTAATCTTTTTTTTTTTCTACTTGAATTTACTTGCAGAGGAGAAAGACCAGTGGCATGAGGCTGGCGGAACCTATTCCCTTGAGGAGGTATTACATCTCCCCAGGATGGAGTTGGTGCTAAGGTCAGAGGTCCAGCACACGAATTCTGCCCCCAAACAATGACTGTCTCACTGGTCTGAGGCAGGAGTGGTTTGAATATGGTGCAGTTCACCTTCCAGGTGCTCCCAAGAGTCCTTCTCCCAAGGAGAAGCTACAAATAAAAACCCAAGAGCTGTTCTCACACCTCTCTGTGAGCGTCTGGAACAGTCAGCAAGGCTTTGAGCCATGCTTGGGGAAAGACCCAAGTGCACAGCAAGAACACTTCCTCTTTGCAGCAGAGTCGCAGTGGGCCTCACTGTGAGACATCAGGGGTTGATGCAGGGAGCATGAAGGGTGGTGGCCGCCACCATAGCCGCCTGGAGGAACCGGAGGGCAGCTTTTGTGGGTCCCCAGGTCTCCGTGAGCCCAGGTGGTCAATGGCATGATGGAGACAGTGCTCTAGGGGCCCAAGAAGGAGTACTACACCGGCCCTGGTGGCCAAGAGCTGGACAGAGATGGTCCATGATGCGCTGGGATGGTGGGGGCCAGAGGGAGCATGGAATCCCATATTGGTGAGCTCATAAGTGCTCTTGCCCCCCGGGCTTCCCAGTAATAATCGGGACAGGGGAGTGGGACAGATGTAGAGCAATATGATTTATTACTGTAAATGTAACCCCAGTCTTCCCTTTTTTTTCTCCCAGGAATGGAGGTGAAAGGGGATGTGTGGGTTCTGCCCATAATTTCAGGTTGACTTCTCCTGATGATAAACAGCTGGTGCTACCGAAGAGGGGAAAGGATACAGGGTTGTTGCACTGAACTGGCTGGGAAGCAGAATCTGGAGGAAGCTGGAGCTGGTGCCCTGGTGCTCCAGACAGCGTCAAGGAATCACAGGTGGTCTTAGGGAGATCAGCTTGTGGCTTTCCCTTAATTCCCCTGAGGACCCGGAGTCTAGAGGTAGGTTTGGAAATGTCCAGGGATTTGTAAGCAAAGCTTCAGGGAGAAGGTTCGAGGCTGAAGTAAGAGGCTAGTAAGAACCCTGAACTTTATGGTCAACTAATATTCGATAAAGGAGGAAAGACTATCCACTGGAAGAAAGACAGTCTCTTCAATAAATGGTGCTGGGAAAATTGGACATCCACATGCAGAAGAATGAAACTAGACCACTCTCTTGCACCATACACAAAGATAAACTCAAAATGGATGAAAGATCTAAATGTGAGACAAGATTCCATCAAAATCCTAGAGGAGAACACAGGCAACACCCTTTTTGTACTTGGCCACAGTAACTTCTTGCAAGATACATCCACGAAAGCAAAAGAAACAAAAGCAAAAATGAACTATTGGGACTTCATCAAGATAAGAAGCTTTTGCACAGCAAAGGATACAGTCAACAAAACTCAAAGACAACCTACAGAATGGGAGAAGATATTTGCAAATAACATATCAGATAAAGGGCTAGTTTCCAAGATCTATAAAGAACTTATTAAACTCAACAGCAAAGAAACAAACAATCCAATCATGAAATGGGCAAAAGACATGAAGAGAAATCTCACAGAGGAAGACATAGACATGGCCAAGAAGCACATGAGAAAATGCTCTGCATCACTTGCCATCAGGGAAATACAAATCAAAACCACAATGAGATACCACCTCACACCAGTGAGAATGGGGAAAATTAACAAGGCAGGAAACCACAAATGTTGGAGAGGATGTGGAGAAAAGGGAACCCTCTTACACTGTTGGTGGGAATGTGAACTGGTGCAGCCACTCTGGAAAACTGTGTGGAGGTTCCTCAAAGAATTAAAAATAGACCTGCCCTACGACCCAGCAATTGCACTTCTGGGGATTTACCCCAAAGATTCAGATGCAGTGAAACGCCGGGACGCCTGCATCCCGATGTTTCTAGCAGCCATGTCCACAATAGCCAAACTGTGGAAGGAGCCTCGGTGCCCATCGAAAGATGAATGGATAAAGAAGATGTGGTTTATGTATACAATGGAATATTACTCAGCCATTAGAAATGGCAAATACCCACCATTTGCTTCAACGTGGATGGAACTGGAGGGTATTATGCTGAGTGAAGTAAGTCAATCGGAGAAGGACAGTGTATGTTCTCATTCATTTGGGAAATATAAATAATAGTGAAAGGGAATATAAGGGAAGGGAGAAGAAATGTGTGGGAAATATCAGAAAGGGAGACAGAACATAAAGACTTCTAACTCTGGGAAATGAACTAGGGGTGGTGGAGGGGGAGGAGGGCGGGGAGTGGGGGTGAATGGGTGACGGGCACTGGGGGGGACACTTGACGGGATGAGCACTGGGTGTTATTCTGTATGTTGGTAAATTGAACACCAATAAAAATTAATTTATTAAAAAAAAAAAGAGGCTAGTAAGAGGAATGGTCCTATGGGAATCAATGTCTGGTTTCAGGGCATTACCCACTAGTCTCAATTCCATAACTAACAACAAAGGGAATCAAAGGGGAGGGAGTAATACTCAGATGGCTCCAATACAGGCTTTTTGGAAACACCATTTGTTTCCAAATGGTGTCGGATCATCTGCAAACAATCTATTATTCCCTTGTGAGACTACTTTGTATGCAGGGGTGTAAATCCAGAACACGATTGCTAAAGCCATAAAAGCTAGTTTTCTGATTTTCCTTTTCTGATTTAGTTCTTGGGAGACCCAGTGTGGCCCAGTACAAAGGGCTTTTACATTGTAATCACACCCTGGTGAGCTCTCCATTTGCCAGCTTCTCTGCCCTCGAGGAGATCACAGGACACGGCTCAGCCTCAGTCCTGTGGCCCCGAGAAAATGCGGGCAATGACATTTGCTGAGTTCCTGTTAGTGTGTCAGACACAAACAATTCTAGGTTTGCACAGGAGGACACAGCCCAGCAGCTCAAACCCCAATCACAGCGGTGACCAGTTTTAAATCGTTTGAGCCTTGGTTTATCTACCGAGCTAAGATGGCTCAATATCTCAGAGAAAAGCCACTCTGGTGCTCGGGTTAGACTTTAAGCTCTAGAGGATCATGGTTATGCCTCATTCCACATCTGGAAAACCCCAGAGCGGACGGGGAAATGGAGCTGAGCTGTCATGACACCGTCTCATTCTAGCTGGTACCCTCGATCACCCCTAGAGTCATCCCCATGGCTGCACCTTGTGGCCAAGGCTCTGCAACATCTGGTTTCACCCTGGAGTGGGATTATGCAGAGCTGCATGAGGAGGAGGTAAGATTTAACATGTAAGACTTAATGGTGGAGGAGGGGGTTAGCGCCACAATGCAGGGAGAGCAGAGCAATAGTCCAGGCAAAGGGAAGAGCCAGTATGGGCAAATGGAGGGAGGGAGAGTTACATACTCTTTGCTTAGAAATAAAGGGATGTCCTCAGTGTGGCTGGAGCTTATGCCACATGATAGCTAACACTGACCCTTCTCCCACTGGAGCCATCGGAGTGGCTAAAGGCACATCCTGGGTAAGGCCCCAACCTGAATCCTGGCTGTGCTGGTTACTTATCACCTGTGTGATCTAGAACCAGTTATTTCTCGCAACTTGCCCATCTCAATGAAAAAAGGAGGACATTAATAATCTACCTTGAAGACCTGAGAATTAAAATGCTGGAAGGCTGTTAGTGCAGCCCTCAGCAATGCAGCTTGTACCGGATAAATGTTCATTTTAACCACCATCATCGTCCTCAACAGGTAATATCCATTCAAGGATAAAGTAGTGAGTTGTTGCAACAGGCACTTGAACCACGTTTAGCAGACGCCAAAGCAAGCAGTCATCTCAGAACCAGAGATTTCCAAGGCGATACAAAGAGATGCTATCTGTAGCTCTTCACTCGGCCCAAAGCTGTGACCTGGCCCAAGAGGTCAGAGCCTGGGTTCGGATGCCGGCCCCCGGCCCCAGCACAATGCATCCTATAGCATATGCCGGGTGCTGCAGATAAGCAGGAGGGTTCATCTGGAAGGAGGTTGTAGAGACTGTGGTCCTGCATAAGAGCCATTGTTCTGGATGGTAAGGTTGACTCCGGAGCCTTCCTGCCCTGTGAACTTATCTCCTATTTCTTGTGTTTCTTCATCTTTAAAAGGAGATGCTCTACTTAAGTCTCAAGGTTGCTGTGCTCACCAGACAAATGACCCAAGGCAGCGGACACAGAATTGCTGCGATTAGTACTGGGGGCACCATTACTTAACGGCAGGCAATTCTTGGACGACCTGCTTTTCTCAGAGAGCAGAAGTGCCACCTGCCCATGATATAAATATCTCAGGGAAGCTGAATTATTTATTTATTATAGACTTGGGTTCACAGGGAAGGAAATTGGTTTCCTTAAAACGATCACATTGATTGGCTTAAATGGCAGAACAGCACTCTCCTGTCCTTACTTCCAGACCCTGGGCCAAGTTCAGGCGTGAGGGGGCACATTAGAGATGTACCTTCCCACCTGCAGACCTATACGGGGGTCAGAAAGTCAATGAAATCATCCTAACCCGCGAGTGGCAGGGAACCTACTTCAGCTAAAACATCGATCTTGGTTCTGCGACATAAGAGGGCAGAGCTAAACAGGTGCGTGCACTCCCAGGTAGTGGCATCACCCTGGCTTGTGTCCCAGCCTTGGGGGTATGCGACCAGGGGAAGGCACATGGAGCCCACGGACAGGAAAAGACAGGAAATGGATATTTATTCAGTGCCCTTGGGGCCAGGCACCCCATCTGGCAATGTCACATGGGCAGCTTGCCTGATGTCTTTTCATTTCTGGGAGGGTTAAGTTCCTTACTTCTTGTCTGCAGGTTCTTCAACTGCTCAGTGGCTACAGTTGCCAAAACTTGGATCTGACTCAAAGGACTGGCATCCTTAGTCATCCTCAACCTGACCGGTCAGTCAACAAACACCCATTGAACTGCTGGTATGTGCTGGGCAGGAAAGATGCAGAGACCCTCCAGGCAGATTCTCTGGCCCTCAGAGAGCTCACAGGGTACAAGCGACAGATGACCTACACATTACCCCACAGGCTGCAGAGGATGTGGTCGGAGGGACATTCACATTCACTGTGAATCTTAATCTCTAGGACTTTAGGACTCCTTATTTTTGGGTGTCCCTTCTAAATACATACTGATATTTATGCCTGAATCTGCATTCATAATTTTGTATTATTTTTCTTAAAGAGGGCACCCCCCCCCAACTTATATAAGATCAGAAGCCACTAAGCCTGGACTCGGCCCCCTGGCAGGATGGAGTGTGAGCACCAAGGACATGGGGATAAAACACGTGTAGAGGCCAGGAAGGTTCACAGGAGCTGATGCATGAGATAACACTTGAGCAAGAGGAGCTCCACCACGAAGAGGAGGTCAGGTGTGTGGGGGGAAGGAGGACAGGTGAGAATATGTCCATTTCTCAGGAAGCCATGAGCTGAGTGGTTGTTGAGAAAGGCCTGTTGACTGTAGGGGTGGCCAGAGTGGAGCGGGGAGGGGGGGGGGGCGCTGCTGAGGGAGGGGTGGGGAGATGTTGACCAGAGAAGCAAAGGGCTTTTGTGCTGAATACTCTAGAGAACTTTAACTTTCATCCTTTGAGCTGGAAGCAACTGTGGAAGGGTTTTTAGGATTCCCTTTTAAAGCATATTTTACAAGCTTTCCACCAGTAACCAGATATAGGCTGGCCTGGAGTGATGGTGACTGACTGTTACCTGGGCCTTTGCATCCTGGAAAACCCTTCTGGCCCAGAGAAACCAGGACAGTTGTTCACCCTCCTGGAGGAGGAGGGGGGCCCAAGCAAGAGTTGGTGTCCTGAATGCTGTCCCCTGAGCTCCAGAGTCTTCATGCTGACAGCTACCCACCTGGAGCTCCACTTGGATGTCCATTTGGCATCTCACAGTGTGTTTAACACCTCATGGCCTTTGTGCTTGCTGTTCCCTCTGCTAGAAATGCAGTTCCCCATCCCTCGTGGTTCAGGCCTTCACCTCCTTCAGGTCTTCACTCAGCTTTACTCTCCTACTGAAGCCTGCCCTGAGCCCATGCCCCTGCTGTTCCCCAGATACCTCATGGTTCACCCCTGTACCTCCTTCAGGTCTTCACTCAGCTTTACTCTCCCACTGAAGCCTGTCCTTAGCCCATGCCCCTATTGTTTCCCCAGATACCTCATGGTTCACCTCTGCACTTCCTTCAGGGCTTCACTCCCACTGAGGCCTGCCCTGAGCTCATGCCCCTGCTGGGAAACCCTACATCCCCTTACCCATATTGGCTTGTCCTGAGTTATACCCTCTGACGAACCAGTGATCCAGGGAGTTGGTCCTCTGAGTTCTATGAGC